GCAGTCACCATTTTTACTTTATAGTTGGACACTCTGTTTTATAAGAGGATCCTTTTGAAGTACATAAGCATTTTATTGGCTTATGTTTTTGCTTTATGGGATTTATTTCCCTTTTCATCGTTTAATAATAGAGTGATAAATAATGAGTAGCATCATGCAGTCTCTTTAATACAAGAGTTGGGATTTTTATTCTAAAAATATTTCACTGGAAAACTTTTAAGTTTTCAAGACAAAAATTTACCAGTTGTCTTAGGCACTGTTGTAACAGATCCTTAACTCTGAGTCCCAACACTGGCAAACTCAGACACCCTTTTTACTTCACTGCAAGTTTTATGTGTCTCCAAGTTATATTATTCCAGTGTCTGAACTTTTTGCACTTCCTTGTATGCATGACATCTGTTCCTTCTCTGTGGGCATTAGTGGCCTGTACCTGTCCACAATTTTCATGTCTTCTAGTTTAAACTTACTTCAAACAGTATCAGTCCTATGTATATTCTTAAAATGCAAGTCAGTTACATCAGTCGCATTATTTAGAAGAAAATAGTTCTGTGTATTTAAACAGCTGTTACTTAAAGTTTGAATACCTTTTTTCATGTGATCTAATCCTGCCCTGTAGGTCCCTGCCTCAGCTATGCAGAATTAGAGGCTATATACTATCCTTTATCTTTTTTTAAGATTAGCATTGTTAAAGTTAGTGTTTTCTGTAGCTATCTTTCTAAACAGACACAGTGACTTGAAGCATGATCCCTTGTCGTAGTGTATGCCAAGAGTGTTCCGTTAATGTATGTTTCCCATTTTTCTACTAGGATGCTTTTTGCTGCTGCAGCACTAACCATTTTTTGGTAGATTTAAGACTTCGAGATTTGTGTTACACCTGGCTCCTTCTGCATCTGCAGATCCTGAACCTGAGCAAAATGGTAACCTTGTCACTGGTCAGTCTGTTGAAGGAGCATGGGAGTGCAGACCTTTTGTGCTCCCAGATCTTCTGTGCCAGTTCAACATTCTAATCCAGGAGACCGAGCTGGCCTCTTTATGCAGCATTAGTTTATGCAGCATTAATTTTCTTCTAAGGTAGTCAGTTATATCAGCACACATGGTTCAAGAAGCATCAGAGTGGACACAGTGCAGATCAAGTGGTGAGGGGATTAAAGGTAGGATGTGAAAGTTGTAAGTCTTATTTTCTGTAGATCCACCCTTGTCAGGACAGGCAACAAAAAAGGGAGTGAAACCATCCTGAATTAAACCATGAACCATCTGCAGTGAAGACAGATCCTTATTATTTAAATTTCTTATCACCAAAGGGCTTGGTTCTGTGGACAGAGGTATCATAAGTATATAAAAATAATTCACAGATAACACAGTAGTATATATGCTAATCAGAGTGAAAAGAAAAGAGCTTCTGTTTACAGACTACTTTATTAAGCACTCCTTAGACAACTTTAAACAGATTAACATAAGGTACCCTAAGCAGTTTTAAATCTTTTTTAATGATACTGATAATTTAATTATATAAATATTTAAACTCGGACTTTTCTACAAATAATATACCAATTGGGAAGCATTCATAGAGCAACTTACCAGCCCTAATGTACAGATTTTTTTTGACCTCTGTGTGCTCAGTTCTCAGTAAGGTCAGCGCTGGTCATAAAAAGGTCTTAATTTTAGTACAAACTGGCTTTTTTAATTCATTTGTCCTGGTTTCATGTATTAATACAGAAAAAGCATTGCCTTGGATGGAGAGAGGTGTAGAAAACCTTGAGCTTGTGATTTCAAATGATCATGTGTTTTTAGCAGTATCATTATCTGGAGAGGCTTCAGTGTATTTTCCTTTATCCAAACATTCAGAATGATTTATGCTTTTATTGAATAGCTGGGGAGGGTGGGAGGGGGTGTTAATTGTTGCAATAAAAGCTGTGAGAGCTTGTGCTGATTTGGTAGTCTCTAACTTGCACATAATGACTTGGAATAGAAACTGAAATTTTAAACGTGTCTGGAAAGGATTAACTGAGCATTTAAGCTCTTAATACAGTTTACCAGGAAAAAGCAAAAGCAGTCCTACTGGTATCCTACCTGCAGCCTGTGCTGTCACTTCATTAATATCCAGAATTCAGCAATATCTGTAGGAACACAGTTTGGTTTTACACAATTGTTCTCTACACTGCAAAGGCGAACAGCTCTCTTTTGCCAGTACAACTCTTGGGTTTCTCCTAATGACAGGAAAATGTAGAGAGCAAGACACAAATATCTGTGTGGTTAAAATTTATGTGTGATTTTTAACCAAATTGCTTTAGTTTGTGCAAAATTCAATAATAAGATCTGTACTACAGAACTGGAGAATACTAGTCCAAAGAAGAGCTTGACTCTGGTGGAAAGCAGACATCTTTCTTATTTAATGCTTTGGATTTTCACTATTCTGTCATAAATAATACAAGCTAAACATAAAATATAAACATCCTAAATGCTTTGGTTTGTCTTTTTCATTTAATGAAAGCAAACTCTTCAAGTTTATAATAGAAACTGATTATTTAACTTAAATAAACTTTAATTTTCTGTAGATGTATGAAAGGAAGGACATCTTAAGGACATCTTTATTGAGTGCACCAAATTAGGGTTTTCTAATAAATTCTTAACAGACTTATTTAGTAAGAGCTGAAAGATGACGTTTTCATAATTCAGCTGTTAATCATATTGTGTACCAAAACCCATACATGCTCTTCATAATTAGTTATTTAATCCTTTTGGGGTTCTCAGAGTTTGGTGTACTAAGAATAAGTTACTTTGCTTTCTTCATTACCACATGTGGGACTTTGCCTTGAATATTCAGCAGTGCTGAGTAGAATGTACCTGCCAAATCCTCTTTAAATATTGCTTATCTTCATGTGTAACACAGTTACTCTGCACTTTTGCAACCTTATCTTTACAGCTTTACAATTGTGTTGGGTGTTCGGTGCCATTGTGCTTATGCACACACAATTTCTATTAACTTCATGAGCATGTGTAACATTGGGAAGAAGTTGAGCAATCTGAATGTCACCAGTGGCTCTTCCTGGCAGATGATGTATCAGGAAAACAAATATTTCCTGTAATGTTTGTATGGTACACCATAAAGTAGTATCTGGCCACTAGGTTTTCATAGTCATAAAATCACATTAATAACAATTATGGAAGTCCTGAGTAAGTCATGGCTGTGCTATTACATAAGTATAAAAATGGTAAGTCTGGGTAAATGCAGGGAAGACAGTCTTTTCCCTGAATAATTCCCACTCTAAGAGCAGTTCTGACTGATAAGTGGTCCAAGGCAGAATATTTACAAAACAGTCCTCAACTGCTTGAAAACTTGATTTCATGGTTCCTGTGAGAGAGATTACAAAGTAGTATCATGTCCTTGAATGACTGTGAGCTGATTTAGCTCACTTTCAAGAACAGACTTTTTGGGGGGTTGGGTGTTTGTTGCGTTTGGGATTTTTTTGCTGGAAATGCTGCTTTAAAATGTCTTTTAAGCATTTATTAGTTTTCTCCTCCTTCCTGTTACTTAAAGCTGCTGGATATGATAGATGGGGAGACTTAAGCCTTTATTTCTGTAGAAGTTTAATTTTCCAGACTTCCAAGTTTTTCCACTTGAGGTAGAGGAGAAGAATCGTAATTAATCTGAGAGATGGACAACAGCTTAAGAGTTCATCAATGGTCTCTCCTTTTATCCCCATAAAGCTCACATTTGTTTATGATGGAGACACTTTACATGATTAGTCACTTTCTTTCTGTGAGTTTGGGGTTTTTTTTCTGTCTGCACCGTTTAAGTTTCATCAAATTGGCCAAAATGTCTCAGTCAATTTCATGGTGTTCTTGAGTTAAGATGAAAATATTCTTTAGTGGCAGCTTACAACATATGTATCAGTTGTCCTTATAATGATGATATTTTTCCCATTAAAATAGCTAAAATTCTATGTGATACCATCTGTATTTTTATAGATCTGATTTACTTCAGCCATTTGAATTACAAGCATTATTTGGAGGATGGCTTTTTGTTGGTTTTGTTTGTTTAGAATTGAATATAGAACATGTTGCAGAAATTTCTCTTAAGAAAGTTAAAGTTCATATAATTTGTCCTATGCAGGGCCTGTCCTTTCATTAGATGTTGAAGTAAACTTAGTCATCTTGAAGTAATTTTTAATTTTCTGGGCTTTAGGCCCCATAAATGCATATCTGTGTTAGTTCAGTGCCCTTCATTGTAGTTCTTTAACCATCTTTGAAGTTGTCATTAGGAGATCAGGTCATGTGTTCATAATGTGGTAAGTTGATGCATTATATAATCTTTGTTTTGCTAAAGCATGGATTTAGAGAAACAACATTTATTAAAAGGAATTGTTTGGGTTTTGTCCCTAATTTTTGTTTTGTTTTTCTATACTGAATTTTATTAAGCATTTTTTCTGTCATTGCGCGTTATAGCAGGTCTTTAGGCATCTCTTGAAGTATTCCATTTCTCCTTCCCTGCAAGACAATATTTCCAGCAAACAGTAATTCATTATTGAAATAAAGCACATTTCTGATTGATATTGTTATTTAGTACAGCTATTTATTTATAAATTACTATACTTCTTTTGCATCTGCCTCATCCCCAGATATTTATGCATGTATATGTGTACCTCTACCCCATAACTAGATACTCGTACTCTTAGAAAGACATAGTACATAAATGTACTATGGGGGGGAATGTACATAAGTTGGGGGGGGAAAAGACACAGAAACATTTCTGCAGACATTTAACTAAGATCTTGCTTTATTACTTCTATTAATACCAACCTCATTAAAACCCATGATGATATCTGATACCATCTGCTTTCAGGATGTATGTGTGCCCCTTTAAACCTCAGTTCTGCAAGCTGTTTGGTGTTTGTTTTTTTACTCTAAGCATAACCACTTTTCATCTTGCAGGCTACCAATACATAATGAAATAAATGGAATTCTGAATTGCAGATTTTCATGATTTCTTCACAGAGTTTTTGAAGATGTCAGGAAATATACCATTAAATATTAATATTAAGGAGCCCCGATGGGATCAAAGCACTTTTGCTGGACGAGCCAATCACTTCTTTACTGTAACAGACCCCCGGAATATTTTGCTATCTAATGCCCAGCTGGAAAATGCAAGAAAAATTGTGCATGATTACAGGTATGGCATTGATCACTTATACTGCAGGCCAAAAAAAGTCCATGTCAGTAATAAGTACATGGTTACGTATTTAAAAGGAAATATTTAAAACACTGTATTCACTGCACCACTCTTTTTATTTCAGAGCTTGAGACACTTTTTTTTCCTTTTAAATTAAATTTGCTAATGAATGGAGAAATTGGGTCATCTGAGGACCCCTGTTGAGCATTCTGAAGTACAGAATGCTTACTAGCATTTTCAGATTCTGAAATAAGTTAATATGACAACAGAGTTTAAAACTTCTTATGTGTTACATTGTTTGAAAATTTGCTTTGCAAGTATTTAAGAATCTACCTGCTCCAGCGTTCCCACACTAATGACTCCAGAGATTTTAGCTCTAAAATCTAGTACAGGTTTGAGTAAACAGAAATTTGGTGCTGCATATATCAACTCAGCCAACATAACCATTACTAGGAATTTTTAGTTGTTTTTCTTTCACCAGCCCATTTAAGAGCTGAAGAACTACAAGCTAACTATAAGGCTAGATTAACTTAGTGTGAACATCCCAAAATCCTCTTGATACCACATTTGTCACTGGAAGATGCAGCATTTTATAACAGTTGTGCTTTCTGCTGTTGTCTTATTTTTATTTTTCTAACTTGCCCCAAGACAAGGTATCGTGTCACCTGGGTTGACAGAAGATGACTTGTGGAGAGCAAAATATATCTATGATTCAGCCTTTCACCCAGACACTGGGGAAAAGATGATCTTGATTGGCCGAATGTCAGCTCAGGTACCCATGAACATGACTATCACAGGTTGTATGATGACCTTCTATAGGTAAGTGATGGCAATATCGCACAGAAAACATTTGCCTACAAATTAGATAAGTTTAAATTAATGTTATTGTCAAAATAGCATTTTAGAAGATTTCTAGTATTTACAAGGGTAAAATTTTGCTTCCTTTTCTCTATTTACATTCCCTCACACTTAATGGTTTAACTAATGGTTTCTTCTAGAACTAATTGTGAGTTAAGCCCTTAGCCCCTCTGCTTCAGCATCCCACTTTTTCTCAAACTGGGAAAGCTGAATGTTCCAAAATCCATCTGTGTAGGAGAGTTGTGTGGAGGACAAAGAGGAGAAGATACTTGGGAATTTCTAACCTTAGAGATCTGGCACATCTTCTACTGTATCATATCCACTCTGTTTTCTTGCTTGTTACAGAATAATTGGCACAACTACTGCTTCTTCTTTAGCACTCTAAATTTCCAGATCAGCCCTCCAATGAGAACCACATTCCTGTTACTGTGTTATTAAGTAATTTAATTAAGTATAAGGTTTAAAGTGCTATTAAAAGTTATTTTAATGATCAAAAAGAGTTTTCAATAGCAACTGTTATTTTTGGTGGCCTGGTTCTCCTGACTGAAATTCAGGAGGAGCAGAATCTTCAGTGGTGACTCCACTGGGGGCAGAGTTTGTGGTCTGAGTACACAAAGAAACGTGTTCCCAGGCATACTCCCCTAGCATCCAGCAATCTGTGGATCAGGAAGTTCCTGATCCAGAGGTAGTATTTTATTTAATGGCCTGTAGCAGATTTCTTTTTTGTAAGTTTGTCCCATTGTTCAAATCCACTACTAGGTTAAGAGCAAAAGCATTTATCCCTCCATAGGACAGTCCCATACGTTGTGAAACAATTTAACTGTCACTTTTTGTATTTTTCAGCATAAACATTTGTAAAATGATTGTATCTGCAGTTTAAGAGGGACCACATTAGCTTGTTAAGTGGGCATTCTGCAACTTTTCCACTGCCCCTCACCTGTGTTGACAAATGAGCATCTTTTTGTCCTAAGGCATCTCATACTGACACCGACAATTTATGTGGATTCCTTGGAGCTCTTTTTTTTTTGATGATTGGTCATCCGGTTCTTGCTGTACTGAACCAAATTAATTTCTGTGCTGTACCTGTACTTCTTAAACATGCAGGTATTTTCATGAAAATAGTTTTTCATTTTGGAGTTGTGTCTTTTAATCTGTAATTCAGTTCTACATGAAACAATGTTTTAATGTCACAGGTATTTATTAAAACAAAGGCATCATATTAGCTCTTTGAAGACTGAGAGGATAAAGCCTATGTCCTAAAATCTACCTCTCAGTTACTTATGGAGCTTCCAAAGAGAACCAGCAGACTGTAAAGGAATAACAACCCTCGAAAAATATTCCAGAAATTATAGCATTTTGTATTTCTTTGTGTGTGTTTTATAGAGAGGTTTTATATAATGCTTTAGTTATTACAACAAACCTTTGTCCCAACTGGACCTTGGTATTTATTTACAAAGCTTTTAAATTCTATTCTTAGAAGTACTTTTATTATCAAGACATTACCTCAGGAACTGTATAGGTTCATTCAGATAAATGAGGACGGACCTCTGCATGATTACTGCTCGCAATGGCTTTTCTTGATTTGCCATAATTTTTCTGTGCTGTTTATTCAACTTCAATTTTGTTATGACAATAATAATTATCATTATTATTGGTTTTTTATTGTGGTGGTGGTTATTATTAATATTTCTCCTTTCAAGAACGACACCAGCGGTGCTTTTCTGGCAGTGGATTAACCAGTCCTTCAATGCTGTGGTAAATTACACGAACAGGAGTGGTGATGCCCCAATCACTGTCAGGTCAGACACAAAACCACATACTTCCCATGAGTTCTGAGTAGTTCTCTGATGTGCTGGTACATGGTTGGGCTTTAAAGTTTGAGGTGATAGAGTTTTTTCATCTGTGCTTATTACTAATTTGATATGCATAGATGAGAAGTTGGAGAACAATGGAGGTGATAACTCTGTTTCTGCCATTAAAGATAAGCCTAAGCATCTTGATCATAAGCACTTAACAGCATAGGATTTAATAGGAGTCTGCGCTGCATTGCTCAGTCAACCATTTGAAATTCAGTTTGGTGTTACATCAGGATATTTCTAAGCTGATATTTTGTGCGGACCTTCAGTTGTGTCTCTCTGCCTTCTCCTCAGTGCCGTGAAGTATAGCAGATACCACACTTCATGCTTATTTACAAAAAGAGGACCCTTCAAGGAACTGGTCTGCACAGTACTTGTTTCTACTTGAAGGCAGAGAGTCTAAATAGATGCAGAAAGCTAGAAATCATAAATAGGAGATTGGAATTGCAGTGCTTGACTTTCTGGTTTAGTGGCTGACTTGCTTATAGATGTCTGGGAGAAAGCAGGAGATTCAAGGATATACAGATACCTTGTATCTGGGAAGTATGTAAAGTGTGTTTTAGAGTAGACTGGGTTGGATTTGGGTGTTTGCATCATACCTGCTCTACATGTATGGGTTCCGGTATAGTTGATTTTAATTACTATCATAGACATGGCGTTAGAAATCCAAGCTGGTTTTATTAGTTTAAGTAATTAGGAAGTTAAATACAGAAATAAATCCTTCAAGGCTTTCATTCAGACACATGAGAAAATGCTGAACAGATAGCGATGCAGAACCAGCAGAACCAGATTCGAAGTTAAAATGTTGCTTGCATGGGATTTTTACTGCTAGTGAAAGGAAAGTGGTTTAGTGTCCATTTGAATCTTCTATACATATCTTATTGCAGTATCACAGAAAGGTCTGCTTTTTAACTTTTTGGGTGGGCATGATTGCATGTGTAAAATGTTAATTATTTTTAAAAGGGAGGTAAATGTTGACCAGATGCAAATGTGTTTATTTTTCTTTTAGCCAGCTGGGAACAGCCTATGTTTCTGCTACCACAGGTGCTGTTGCAACAGCTTTAGGACTTAATGCACTAACAAAGGTATTGCTGATTTTTTTTTTTTTCCCCATTTGTAACTAAACTTTAGTGTTTAATGAGATGTTAATAGCTTATTTCTCCTTCTGTGTATCTGCATCATGTTGTGTGCAGCTCCCAGTACGGAGTTGTAATGGCATTTGGCAGCTCCCTTCTTTAGATCCCAACCTTATTTTTGCCCCGTGTAGATGCTTTTGTATGTATTTCAAACAGCCTGTTCTCCTTATATGCACATCTAACAGCCTTGTGTTTTGTTAATACAAACTGTATCTAATAAGGTGCCTTTTTTTGCAGTTTCTTTTGTACACATCGAAGTATATAATAGCATTTGAAAGTTAGTTGCAGTGCATGTGTAGTAACAACAATGTGAGCTCATTATCCCATAAACTGTCTAGGTGTGGTTTTAAGGTACAGTATCGCTTCTGCAAACGTGGACATCTCCTCTAGACTGGCTGAAGAACTTGTAAGGAGATGCTGCTCCTAAATGCAGAAAACTCAAATTCTTTAAACAAGTGCAAAACACAAGGTAAAAAAATACATTCTTTACATTTAAAAAAAAAAAAAAAAAAAAAAAAAAAAGAAAAATGAAAACCAAAGAGCAAAACTCTATTTTGTACCCCTCTGTTTAAGCTTAAATGTATTGGGAATGGTATAGCTTTAACAAGTTATTTGAGAGGCTATTGCAAGCAGAGTAAGTCATATTATACAAGACACTGGCTAGATGAATAGCCTACATAGTCAGTGGCTCTAGATGCAAAGCAGCTGATATGGATGCTGTGACCTTGCCAGAAGAGACAGTAAAGTAAAGGTCTGTTTAGTGTTGCTGACAGGCATGCTCAGAAGCTGACTCTTCCCTGCAGTAATGCTACTAAATTAAGATTGGTTTTTCTAGTTTCATGCCACTACTCCCTCTGAGAGAGTATTTATGACTTGTTTGTTTGTTGTTTTACCTCTGCCCCCCTAGTGAGTTTTCACAGAATTTTAATTTAAAGGAAATAAGTCTGGTCTATCATTAGCACATGAAGTATTTTCATATGACCTTTGGGAAATAAAATGATTATGTAAATTTATTTTCTTCTTTTTAATTTCCTTTTCCCTCCCTCTCTGTGTGTTTTACAGCATGTCTCACCTCTTATAGGACGGTTTGTTCCTTTTGCTGCTGTTGCTGCTGCTAACTGCATTAATATTCCACTAATGAGGCAAAGGTATGAAAAAGAACAAAGATCACTCATTCTATATGTTACTGAGTTTTTAGATCAGCAAGTTACTAAATAAAGCACATTATATGTCTTTAGCTTGTTTCAGAACCTTGCAAAAACCTCATGCATGATCTTGTTTTGATTGATTCATTGTGACAGGCATAAAATAGAACATCTTTGTTCTCTTGAGATAAATATCCGTAGAGTTCTTCAATCTTACTTCTCAGAAACCAATTGCCAGCCCTTTAAAGGTGAAAAACAAATGAAAAGCACCCTCTTATAAATGCAAGGTTATGGGCAGAAAAGGGAATATATAAAGTATGTATTTACAATGGAATTCAATCTATGGTAGTATATCATCTCTTATAAAAGATGAGGAGTAAAGGGAGTCCTCAGTATATTTGCCCTTCTGTCTGCTTCTCACTCTCCTGAATGAATTTAACAGTTAGCCCTGCACTTGCAGATAAGATGTAGTAGAGAATAATACAGATACTGAAATGTAGTTTGTTTTGTGCTTTCATTTACGCTTTCAATTATGTTCTTAGTGGTTGAAATGAAAACAGCCTAGAATGCCAGAGGAAGCCTTCACAAAGGTTTCTTGTTTAGTTCTAATCATCTTCCTGTATTCCCTGTGTTGTCTGTTGGAAAGGACAAACTACTTCCAGAGCAGTCCAGAAAAATCCCACATTTCTGAATTGCTTTTTGAAGGAACCTCTCTGTTCTGTGAACTACAGAAAAAACACATCTCCTTTCTTCCCCTCGGAATGCATGTGACCAGGCTCAAGCAGCAGATTGCTGTTACAAATATTCAGTTGTTTGCTTTTCAGCATGTTTTCCCCCAGATCTTTCTCTGCCTTTTGAAATTTTTGTGCCAGAGTGTCACGAACAGGTTAACATGGAAAGTAAAATACAAACTGTAATTCTTAGAAACAACAATTTTAAGGGGACAGAGATAAGGTAACAAAAAAGGAGAGTAAATGCATGTCTGTCACTGCTCTATTTTATTCCTTATTCAACAGAGAAATCAAGTTTGGAATCCCTGTCATGGATGAGAATGGAAACAGACTGGGTGACTCATCAAAAGCAGCTCAGCAGGCAATTGCCCAGGTGGTTATATCAAGGATTCTTATGGCTGCTCCTGGCATGGGTAAGAATAACTGCAGTCATGTGCAGCTCCTGATTATCAGTTCCTAATGTGAGAGAGATAGATTAAATTCTATGTAGGCCAAATTATCTTACAGTTATGCAAGCAGTGTTTACATTTCTGTTAAGAAGTTCCACAGAGAAGTGGACATTTCTTGCTGTGGAAACATCCACTGTGTGTTGCACCGAAGGGCAGCAGAAAAGCTCCTGGGATGTTTTTTGCAGAAAAGACACAGATAGAAAAGGAATGGCAGCAAATTCCACTGGAGTGGAATTGGTTTAGTGAAGAGTAGATGCTTTGCCTAGTGCCAAGTTGCTACCTGAGTTTAGTTGCGTGTGAAATTAGAAGGTTTGCTTATTGGGAGAATTGACCTTTGTAAATACAAATCCAGTATCTTGAATTGGCAATGTGAAATGAAAGCTCAGTTAATGACAAAAGGCTGCAAAAAACTGTATTATGGTATTAATCTTAATAGAAAATCAAAACAAAGTGCCTTTTTCTCCAAGTTTGATGTTTCTTTTTTTCCTTATTTGCAGCAATTCCTCCCTTCATAATGAATACATTGGAAAAGAAAGCCTTTTTAAAGGTTAGTCTTAGATAATCTATGTATATGTAATTCCTATCCTAATATTTTCATGAATTTAAAATACTTTCTGAGTCTTCATATTTGCCTCCCAAACACTCTGGAAGGACATGACTTACAGAGTGTGAGTAGAGCTTGTGCTTTACAGCTGTTGCTTTCTTTATGTCTGTCTTAGAGATAGGCTGGTTCTTTTCAGCACTGTGTAAAATGACATTTAAAAAAATGTGAAGGTTTTTGTTATTTTTATAATTGTTCTTAAAATGCGGAGTTCCTCCTAGTAAATATATCTTCCTTCTTCTGAGACTTAGAATAGAGTTTATTAGAAAAACATTGGAATTTTTTTTTCCTCAACATAGCAATAAGGAGGCTTTGCTTAACTGCTGTCATAGCAATTTGACTTTGGAAACAACAATGATGGTAAAAATCTCTTGAAAATGATCCTTTAAAATTTACAGGATGAGCAAGTACAGGGTAGGCATAGAACAAGCATGCTTCATCAAAGATTACTTATTTCTTACATTCTGTTTGTGTTAATGTAGTATGAAGTCAAACATCTGGTCTAAGTAAATATATAAACTAAATCAACATCATGCACAGTGTGTGCATGAGAGGCTAAAGAAGAATAATGACATTAATTATAGAGTTGTCTAACACGAGAGAAATACTATTCAGATGAGGAACTCTGTAATCCTTTACCAGTAAAGGGAGTTTCATCTTCACCAGCAGATATCACTGATTTATTTATTGTCTAGCTCCAGGCAAAGTCCCTGCCTGTGAAACCCACCCAGCAAGCTGGGAACAGTAGCCCAAGACAATCTGTCTCCTTCCTGTTAGAAGTTAGGAAAAGAAAGCATGGTCTGAGTCTCCAGACTCCCTTGGAAAAGTGGTTTGGGTGGGGACTGGCAGGACAAGCAGGGGAAGTTGCCTGGTTTTGTTTGCCTAAGATAAAACTTTCTAAAGTATTTAAATTATATTTCTTATTATTTCTGCTCTTCATTTTTCTTGTGCAGAGTTAGATTACCCAGTTACATACACCATTGGAAATTGGGAAGAAGTCCCAAGTGTCTTCCAAATGTAAAAACATACTTTTCCCTGAAGTTCTTTGCTTCCTTCTTCCCTTGCTAACAGAAAACACTATTGCTCAGAATGTAGAAGCAGGAAATGCAGCATTTGAGTTTAGAGTGAAAGACACTGTGTGCTGCTTGTATCTCCTGAAGGAAGTAACGCTGCAGTGCATCCAAATACACTATTTCTCTGCAGCATGAAGAGTACCACACTGATTTGGCCCTGAAGCCCTGTACTGATTTGGCTAATACTTAATTGCTCATTTCTTTTGACCCCTACCCTGTTTGCAGAGTAGCTTTAAGCTGCTTGAGATACTGTTATGTTCTTGAGTATGTATTACCCAGAACATTAACTCTTGTTTAAAAACATAAATAAATTTAGAGCAAAGATTATTTTGTATGTATTTGACATGGGAGAAATATCACAAATGCCATCAACTCAACTGGCAAATACATGACATTTGTGTAGAAGTTATAGTGATCCTCAGGGTTTGGAGACAAATGTCTGTTGTCTGTGTGTGGTATAATCAAAATAAGGGTGTTGTGAATTTTTCAGATCAGCAAAAATGAACGATTTCTTCAGTGACTACTCAGTGGGTTTTGGTACCATCATGACCGTTTATGCTCACGTGTTCCTCCCCCTCAGCCTCAAAGACTGTGAGTTCAGGTGAAACACTGCTCTGCAGGTAGTCAGTGTAACACTTGGTAGAGATTAGTATTAAAACCATTAAGGAATGAGCTGCATTTTTAACAAGCAGCTTCTGCATGTCCTCTTGAGGTTTCAGAAGCACCATCCCATTTGCAGTCCTCCAACACCATCCACACAATGCTTTACTAACTCATTATTCTTAGCCTTTGCTTTGCACAGCATCAGTCTTGAAAATAATTCTTGTTTGCTTGCCAAAGCCTATTAAGCAATGCACAAGGCCAGAAAATAGGCAAATGGTTTGTGAAATAATGGAGAAAATTGAATGATGTACTGCAGTAAGACAGAAAAGCTTCTGGAATGCTGATCTCTGATAGCAGGCTATCATTCTCTGATATTTGAAATAAGATGAAAGTTATGTAGCACTATTCATCCCTTGTATTCCGACATTGTTTCTCACAAAGACATTTTGATGGTGACATTAATATAAATTAACAATATTCCCAAAAGTTACTGCTAGAAAATGATTTAAGAATGTTTTTAGAACACAAGCACATACTTACTGCTTCAAAAAGAATCTAATTATTTCTTTACTTGAAAAAATATTTTGTAATATATGTGGTTTTGCAGCAGGTTTTAGCAGTGGCTTTGGCTGCCTTCTATGTGATTATTCAGAGCAGTAGTTCTTGATTGGGCTGAATAATGTCTATATCTATGTTCACTACCCCATTACACTTGACTAGCTCTGCACAGAACCAAATTATTTTATCTGCTTCTGCTGCAGCAAGAAGATCCATAAACAACCTTGCTCTGAGGCACAGCATTTATAGATTTATTTTAGTTATAGGTAACCTTTCTCCTACTAAAAGAAATCTATTTTTTCCATAGAAACTTCCTGAAATTCCAACTGACACTGAAGTTTCAGTTTATATTACTACTCCTGCAGCTTCAGCTACTGTTTCTCATGGCCTGCATACTGTATTAATATTAAAGTTCATTACAGAAATTTCCTCATGGATCCCTAAAACAAGCTCCTTGGGGTCTCTTAATTTGGAAGTAAAATATGTATTCAAAACTGTTACAAAACTAGAACAGAGAGCTTTTGGGTTGAGTTTGGGTTTGGGGTTTTTTTGAGGATCATTCTTGAATGTCTTATGCCTTAGGGTCCTCCATACATTCCTAATTTAACTGTCATTTCAGTTTGGTTGGTTGGGTTTTTTTTTCTTTTGAAAACAGGACTAGCCTTGGAAAGCTGTCAGATTTTGAAATCCAACAATGAAAGGAAGCAGTTAGGAAAAAAGCTGATTCTTTTTATGGCTTTTGTTGGCTTAATGTCATTTCTTCATTTTTCTCTTTCACACTAACCCCTGAAGATGCCATAAAGACATCTGGAAATTAAATTCTAATTCATCAGGAACGGCCTTCTTCTGGAGTTATAGTTCTCTAACCCAGTAAATTCTTCTGCTGTCTTGTACTTCTCCATTTTGTCTCTTTGTAGCAAAGTACAGCTTGCGTTTGCATTTGAGTTTTGCTTTATTGTTTTACATTGTTCCCTGGGCAACTCAATTCTTAAGACTGACTTCCCAGTGTTGGAGTTTTATCTCACCATCTTTCTTGATGAGCACAGCCTGGTAACATTCTTGAAAAATTAAAGTCTGTAACTCAGATGAAGTACCTTGGCAAAAATGTTCCAACACATGAAGTAGATGTTGTTTATATTGCCTGTGCTCTCAGACATCTCTCTCTCTCAGATCAGTGACCAACTCCGACAAAGGTATGAAACCATCTGTCACTCTCACAATACCCTCTGACAGTCTTTTCAGTTATGAAATTATATTTGGGGATCTTCTCTTATGTACCTCAGCTCCCATGCTCACACTGCAATGCGTAGCATCCCTTTCCCTTAATTCTCCTCAGACACTGAAGTCATTAGACGTAGTTTGACTTGTGTTCCCAAATACATGTAATATTTACCAATGCCACGGTCTGACGTCCCTTCCACTGTCAGTCACACCATCTCATGTCATGAACTTTCCCAATGTGAAAGCATTTTGAGTGAATTCATCTCAGCTGAGAATCAAATGAAGGTGTGTTTAGTGGAGTGCCAGAACAGCAGAACACTGCTGCATTCACTCTTTATCTTTCTTGCTATTGCTGTCTTTTTCTCTTTCTATTGTTACAGGTTATTGCTGAATTGCACAGTTCCTTCTGCACTCATTGGGGGGGGGGGAGGGGTAGAAGAAAGAAGCAATTTTCTACATCATTTCTTCTCCCTCAGGCCTGGAGAAAGTTTACTCTGCACAGGCTTGTTTTCCATGCCTCTTACTCTGCTGTGACCTTCTTTAACACCAGGCTCTGTTCTACCTAGCTTTCTAAATTTCTTTTTTCTATTTTTCTTCTCAAGTAGTGCCTATCTCTTGTTCACCAGTTTCCCCTCTAACTTCTACATCTTGAGAAATGCTTCTTGCAGAAACAAAACATGTCTTTTTCGAAAACATAGTCCGCTGTAACATGATTTTAACTCATTTGCTGTTTTGTTTTAAATCAACTTCCTTGATGTGCAGTTGCGTGTGCACTACTTACCAGAGACACTGATTTTTATTGTAGCAACAGAAGGCCATTGCAGTAGTATCATTTGAATGGGTCTGGTTTTATTTCATTAACATGGGGGGGTACAGATACCTAAACAGTTTAGAGACCTACAAGAAAACTATCATATTTCTCAGTATATGTTTCAAGTTCTGCAGAAGTTGCACTAATGAGGAATACACTAAAAATGCATCCATACGTTGTGTGTTGCTCAGCTTTATTGCCCCAATTCTTCTACCCTTTTTTCTTTAGTAAAAGGTGAACTCTTGCATAATTGGGGTGTACCAGACTCTGCTACAGGGGAGAAAGTTCCTATACATCAAAGTCAGAAGAAAGAGCTGAGAGGCAGACTTAGATTTTTCTTCGATACCTCCCTTATTTCTGGTTGGTGGCTGCAGTTGTTCGTGCAGTACATCTCCAGTTGCAAGTTAAAACCATTTGCTGTCACTAAAGAGACGGGAGCTGGGACCAAACCTAGCTCTTCCTGGGGTGACCAGGCAGAATTCTCTGTGCCCAGGGGAGGTATGGGAACACCTCACACTTGCAGCACCACTCCAAACCTTGGCTGCATTGCTAGCTACTCAAAGGAATGGCTCATGTACTTAGGATCAGGTCATAAGTAAAACAGTCAACCACCTCTCATAGTTCCTAAGGGACACTTACCCAAGATAACACTGTACATTGGTAGCACTGGGAATGTTCATACCACTTTTCAAAGGGATTGGACTCTCAAATTGGAGCTCAGCTTTAATGTATACTGGTAATTGTTTTGCCTTCATCATGTATTTAGAATATAAGAATTCCAAGAAGGTGGGAAGGGAGGGGGAGAAAAGATACCATCCTCACTTTGTGCACTTTTCCTTTCAACAGAGATATCCTTGGATGAGTGCTCCTATTCAAGTTGGATTAGTTGGATTCTGGTAAGTGATTTCTTTGGGTTGTGTCTGCTATTTTAAGAGATATTTGAAGGGGTGTTTTAAGAGGAAGTAGCAATATTTGCTCTTTGTTAAAATTAATTAAAAAAAAAAGAAAAAGTCTACAGCACTTAATGTAACTGGTAACACCATATAAAAAAAAAAGCAGCATTAGTAACAAGTCTGCCAAGAAAAGCAGAGGGAGGAAGAAAAAAAAACAAGGGAGTGGCAAAAAAAAAAAAAAAAACACCAAAAAAACGCATGGATTAGAAAAGGTGCTTTGGCTGCTACCTGCGTAAACAATAACTGGAATCTGATCTTGTAGGTTGCCGGATTCTTGAAACATTTGGGTAATGGAGAGGTGCTGTTGCTGTTATTTAGTGGTTTATGTTGTCATGGAGACCAATGCAAAACACTGGAAGAACATCAAATGATAGCTTTATACGTATTTGTAAGCATGGTATTGATGCATTTAGTACTACATAGTAGGTAGAAGATATCATAAAGTATAATGCAGCGAGAAACAAAGGTCACATACCACTTCATGGAACTTTAGCTCACTGTATACAAAAAAGAGCTTTCTGCTGTAAGACCATGCCTAAATTTTGAATTTTCTTTTAGTACCCTAAATATCATAAACCCATTTTTGTCTCCTTTAGTCTTGTGTTTGCCACACCCCTGTGTTGTGCACTGTTTCCTCAAAAAAGGTACGTATCCTTGTTACATCATTCTTACTTTAATGTTATGCTCCCAGATGCATGCAAGGTACTGCAAAAAGACAAACACATCATTGCCTTCTAGAGCATACAGTTAATTCCCATAAAACAAGTGTGATAAACATGAGAATATATAGAAAAATAACAATTATGTTATACATCAGTAATATATAGTAGTTGAATTGGGCTTACTTGTTTACAGACTCCTAGCAGCTCAAGATACAGCTACACAGGGACAGCAACAAGAGGTTTGGTTGCATAGTTTAACCACGTGCTTTCATGCCAAGATGTCTGAGCTTGATAATACAGAGCTAAGAATCACTGGAATGATTCATAAAAAAAGCTAATGTGGTCTAAATAATATATCAACACCCAGTAAGGTTATAGTTTCATTAAACAGTCAAAACCCATTCTAGTTTCACCTGGAAACTCCTGCCTATACCCAGAACAGTACTTAACTATGTGTGCTTATTTGTAATTTATTAATATATTTCCAGAAAGAATTTTTCATTACTATGCAAATAGCTCAGTACTGAAAACTGTCTTAGAAGCAATATAGCTGAAATCAGAATGAAACCTGAATGGGTTACCTGCAAATAAAATTAGCTCAATATGCAGTACGTAATGTCAACAGGGTCTTAAATTCAACTGAATTGTCCCTCATATTTTAGTGGTTGTCTAAACGGTACGAGCTGCCAAATGTAGCTTAAACAGTGCAATCTGGAGCTGAGTCCGTTAAAATCCATTAAAAAAAGCAAGTAGCTTTTGACTTAAGAGGAAACAATACCCAGTTCTCATCTAATGCAATTGTTGGAATACAACAAAGCAGGCTGACATCATCTGCTTCCCTACCTGGCAGAGTAGAGAATGGTGGTGAGCAGCACTAAGCTACCTGGAGGTGACTTGACAAACTAGCACAGCAAGTGTGGTACAGTTCTTGATTTTAACCAGGGCTCTGCATTTCACAGAAAGATTGGACCTGAAACAGTATTTGAGAAACTGAAGCTATTTAAGTGACCTGGCAGCTTAAATTCACTTTCATGACTCTTATAAACCTTTTATTCAAATGACTGAAATCAGGCAGTGAGTTAAATAGGCAAATACATTATATTTAAGAAGAACACCTTTAAGAAGGTAAGTTTCTATTGCCAGCAACAACTGCAAGCAACTAAGTAGACTCCTAACCCTCATGGTAGTAGCAACAGCCATTTCTTGATTCTACAGGCTGTCTTATAGCCTTTTAAGCAGGGATCTGTTTGCCCCTCCACCGTGAGCACAAGTCCTTCATAAGAAGTTAAAAAAGCACTGAAAACACTTTTCACGCTCCAGGAAGCTTAACCAGATGTATCTTCCATCTTACTTTACATTCAAGTGCTTGTTATATGTAACTATTTTATTGTTTCTTTTGCTTAGTTCTATGTCTGTAACACGCTTGGAGCCAGAATTGCAAGCCAAGATCCAAAAGAACAGCCCTGAAGTAGAACGTGTATACTTTAATAAAGGATTATAATTCAAGGAAGGGCAAGTATCTTTCAAGGAGGATCCTGTGAACTTATTTCTGAAGTATGTGCCAACGTGGTTGAAGAGCTCAGTTTAACTTGTCCTTTTGTTAAACAACTTTGATCATCTGCATTATTTTATATTTAAAGACTTTCTTCATTGTAGTGTTTAAAATACAAAAGGTCATTTTGTCCACTTTGGTATCAATTAAAAGTTTAACCATACATATTCAAAAACGTTTACATAAGCTCTCAAGCAGATACAACAACAAAAAACAAGCACACAAAAATAGATGCCATTATATTGGATTTGCCACCTATTCCAGTAATAGCAGGGTAGGGATCTCTTTGTAAAAAGTCATAGAGCAACTGAACGAAGCTGCCACCCTCTGCCAGCAGCAGGACGGGCAGCTGAACGTGACAGAAGGGTGTGCAGGAAGGGCTTTTTACCAGGAGGTTGATTAGGTTGTAGGTTTTCCCTGTTGGCACAGAACCGTTTCTTTAAGGCAGATGGAGGAGCCTGGAGCTTCTGTACAGTGTGGTACTGTTCTGCAATACAAGCTGCTTTCTTCCGCAGGTCTAGTTTTACCAGCATCATGTTGTTCTGCAGTTCTGCCAGTGTTTGGTCCTGAGAAAGGGAAGGTGCTATATATATACATATGTATGTAGATACGACAAGATGTCTAACTTCCTGGTTACTGTGAACTGAAGAGAATAATCTGCCTTTGCTAAAATTCACTAACTGGTGTGCTGAATAAGTCCACGCATAAAAGCTTCTACTGTCAACAGTGTAGCAGTTCGATAACAAAATAGGAACAGTAAGGCTAGGAAAAAGCTGAATCCAGCCTGCTGCTAACATGCTGCCATAGAAACTGTGACAGGGTGAAGTGGATAAGGAAGCGAGAACTGAATTCTCCTGCTTTACGTGCAGGCTGTCAGCTGAACAGGAAGAGTTTGGGTCTCCTATGTAGAGTTAAATGTGCAGTCTGTCTCAGCCATTGGAAAAAATCAGCAGTATACTTACTTCCCTTAATGTAGTAGTATGTGTCTAGAGAATATCATTTTTATTTGCAGCTGCAAGAACCTAGGTTATTCTGCTGATTATGCCAAAGTGCATAGAGTAAATCCCCCTGTGCAACCCACAACAAAACAGAAACATTACCTGTCTAGCCAGAATGTCATCACATGTACAGAGGACTTCTCGAAGTTTTCCTGCACTTGTGCTGTGGCAGCACGCTCTTTCTGCAGACTGAAGAGACTCTCCAAGTTTCTGTAATTCTGAACGCAGCAATCTGACATTCTGCAGGAGAAAGGTTCAACATGACAGCTGCTTTGACATTGCTCTGCAAGCAAAGCCACCCCAGGGTAATTCAGACATGCAGGACTGAGGGAGGATCCCATTTGAGGGAGGTACACTGGGATCACAGATAACATAGCCTTCCACATCTCTCGTAAAGGTTTTCGTACCCATTTTAACTTCAACCATTTGCTTAAAAACCTGGAAACAGCAGCTCCAAGCGCTGTTAAACTGGCAACTACATTGCCCTGCAAGTGTTCCTTTCTGTAACAGAGATGGAATTACCTTCTGTCCATCCTCCAGCTTCCTGTCTACATCCACAGTAATGGGTTTGGCAGAGGGAGGTGGCTCCAGCAATTTCTGGTACTTGCGCAACTCTAGAAACAGACAAAAAGCAGTGAGCAACAGTATAATCATAAGCTTTCAGTTTTTCTGAAGTCAGGAATCCCCCTGAGATAAAGCTGCCACGGGCAAGCTGAGAAAAGCTTTGTGCAGACATGCACAGGCATTCCAGGCTTCTCCCTTTCAATTATGCAGAAGGACTTCAGAATTTAAACTGGGAGATAGATGATCCTGCCCCAGAGTCCATTTTCACATGAAAATGAAGTGAAACCACATGAAAATGAAGCGAAACCCTGTCCATCCAGCACATTATTCCTATAATCTGCAACTCAGAATAGTGGTTTCAGGATGTCTGAATCCAGTATGCCTGCTGATAAATGTATCTCTAACCCCTTTATAAGGGCTGCTCTGATCTAGTTAAGGACCAGTGTAGCATCACTGCCTTACCTGCTGTTGCAGTATTTAACTCCGTTTGACATTGCTCCAGCTTGGCTTTAGTATCTTCCAGCTCCTGTTGCAGAGCACATGAGGTAGCTGCCACTCGCTTTGATCGGCGCAAGCCTTGCCCCAAGTCCTTTTGTTTAGTATCCAGGCTCTCCAATTTTTGTTTTGCCTCCTGCAGAGCAGCTTGGAGCTCCTCAATCTTCTCATCACGCTCCTTAGAAAGCAAGTTTGTTCAAATAGTCAACAAGATGATCTTAACACAGCTTTTCTGAAACTTTCAATGTCTTTTCTTCCAGGAGACTTTCAAGATCAGACACTTTACACACAGGACCCAGCCTTAGTGCCCTTTCAGTGAAAAGCATGAACCCATTTTCTGGGAGCCTAATCCACTTTTTTTTTTTTAAAAAACAGCCTCTAAAGATAGGAGGGTTTTTTGAGAGTTAGCATCTTCAGAGAGGTCTGCAGCAAATCCCAAAAACCACTCAAATGCCATAGCATAAAAAATACAGATAGGCCCATACCCATCATCACAACTAGGAGAAAGAAGAGAAATTCACAGAACTTATGTTAAGCCAAAGGAGTGCAAAATAAGCAACTAGCAAAAAAAGTAAGGGTTGAAAGAATCATGTTGAACAAATACATGAGTCAGAATTGTTGAAAAGTAGCTTTCAGATTAATGGATGAAAATCAGAAAGCATAGTGACCTACATAAAGCAGTAGACAAGCAGCAAGAATTGTGGATCAAGCTATCAAATAATATCACAAAAAGCAGAATCTTTCAGTTTGCATAAGTCACCTTCCTGGATTCAAGTACCCCAAGTCCCCTCCCAACCCAGTGCCACTTTCCTGATGTCATTTCATTGCCCTGAACACACCTGGATCATCTCCTGGTAATAGTCAGTGAGTGATTCCTTCAGGTTATTCAGTTTATCCTCATACAGTTCCTCCAGCAGCTCCTTCTGAGTATCCAGATGTTGGCTACAAAGACAGCAAACAAATGTATGTCAGGGTTTGGCAGTTCTTGGTAGCATAGCTAACTCTGAACAAAGGGAGGGAGATCAACATAAGCTGTACCTGCACCACTGCTCCTTCTGCCGCATGTGCTCCAGCATCTCATTGCAGATCTCCTCACGGAGACGCATTTCTAGTTGCAGCTTCTCCTGCCGCTCTTGCACCAGCAGTTCTCGTGCAGCTTCCACTACACGCAGCAAGTCCTGCAAGAAGGACAGAGACTCCACTGCCCACACTGCATAACAGAATTTAAACTTAAACTAGGTCATCCCATATCTGTAGGCTAAGGTGACCTAGGTTTAAGATTCTTTTAGTTGCTTTGAAAGAGAAGCTGCTGGGTTTACTCTTAATTCCTCTCCTGTGAGATGGCTTAATGCAGTCTAGCTGGAGCCATCTCCAGAGCAGCTTCCCCTCCTGCACTGCCCAGGGCTGCACCTGCATTTGCTACCTTGACACATTACTGCTCATGCCTCTGTAGGTATCTGACTTCCATCTTAATCTTTCAGCTATTCCAGCTGCCAATTTCTGAGTATCTGGGAAGTTTGATTTTTTTTTTTCCAATTTAGCCTCCTGTTTTGCATGTTCTCCAATTTTTATATTTTCCATGCAGAGTAGGGATTATAGGTCTGCACCCGAGCTCTTATTGTCCCTATTCCACAAATGTCAGTGTTTCCAAATTGAGCATATGCTTCAGATTTGGTCTAAATCTGGAATATTTTCCTCACAGATTCCAAATTTCCTGAGTCTTATATCTCTCTGAGGTTCTGTTATCTCATGGTATAGTGCCGAGCTCTATCTGACCTCCCCAGCCAAAGCTAAACAGAGCTTTAAAGCTATTCTTGCTCCTCTATCCATAAAGGCTGTAAAACAAATCACAGCCCACCTCCTTCTCATACATGGAGACATCCGCTTCATCCTCACTGTTATCTTCCGATTCCACTTCATCATTTGCCACTGACTCTGCACCTTGGCTGGTTCGCCTGTGATGCTCTTTGATGATTGATTGTATGGACGGAAGTCCCAGCTTTGTGGGTGGTACCTGAACAAGCTGAAGGGGAAAAGCCCCATTATTACTAATCCACAAAAGAAGTCGCACAGCTTTAAACATAGCACTTCTCTGCAACCTGTAAACCCTTTCAGTTTAGCAGAATCTGGAAGTACTGTAAAGTTAATAATCCACTGGAGAAGCATAGCGAAAGATTTGCAAGCATTCCCCCTGCCCTGTGATGGAAAAGGGCTCACTCCCACAGAAGCAAGATGCATCCTGACCATGCCATGATCCTAGTCTGTGCTGCTTACCTGGCTAGCAATGGCAGAGAACTTGGCTACATGCAGAGTTTCATCATATGTAGATGCACACTGGTTAATGTTTACAATCATGCAGGAGCACCCACGTCCAGTGAAGAAACCCTGGAACACACGGGTTAGCTTGCTGTCCCGGAAGGGAACCATAGTCTGCTTCAATCTATGGGGAGAAACAAGAGTGAGCCCATAGAAAAGAAGAACAGCCTCCCTACATCCTCCCTCTGGAATTCTGGATACTTACTTGGACTGCTGGTTCTGGCGGAGAGCAGCAATACAGCGACCCAGTGTGTGGAGAGAGGTATTGATGTTGTTTGCTTCCTTCATTCGGTCCCCATTTTTCTGGTCTTTGCAGCGCTCTGACCCCGCAAGGTCACACAAGGATAACCTGAAGAGGATACAGGGGATATTCACATGACCTACTGGCTTGTCCTGTTCTATCCAGGTGAATTCAGACACCCTGAAATCCCCTACACCCTGCTCACCTTCCCAGCTTCCCCACAAGGGCACAGAAAGCTTTTTTAGGGTATATGGGCTACTGCTGAACAAAAAGGCCTACTCTAAGTGTAGGGGTTACAGAAGGTAACACCAACATGAGCTTTGCAGTCTCAGTTTCAAAGATCATTTGGCAATCCTCAGGACAGCCACTTCCCAGGTACTGAGACAACTACATCCCAGGAACAGGCATTGGTAACACTCAAATCAGCTGTGCTGCCAAGTGCAGTGTTACTCACATGTACCTTCATTTAAAGAGCTTAAGAACTACCTCAAGTTGTACTCTGCAGTACTCCTCTACAAAATTCTCAGTCAGTTCCAAGAACAGTGGGAACATTTACTCCACATACTTTCAACATGTCCTTCCTCAAGATAATTCACATACCCCATATCCATGACAAAAGACAGGAAGTTGAGTCCACAGAGAACACCCTCAAATCCTAGAAAGCATAAGACTTACTCGCTGATTTTTGGAACAGTTTCACTGCCACCTCTTTGCAAGTGCAGGATCCGAATGGAGAAGACACTGTGACTGTAAAGAAACATGCAGATATTCTAAAAAGGAAATGCAACCTCTCAGACAAATTCTAAGAAGCCCTTCAGAATTGTATTTCTGCCTAAACAACCTCCCTCTCCCTTCAGACCTTCGACTGGAGTTCTGGTTCATGTGGGTGCTGGCAAAACTCTGGTTTTTTCGACCCAGTTTCAGGAGCTTCCAGGCCTCATCAGCATCCCGGACATTGATCCAGTTCAGATCTGGAAAAGCAGGCACACATTGGGCAAGGCAGTCAGGAGACTATCAGAAAGCTTAATTATCTCAGCCCCAACTTCACCACTGCATTTCCTTGGCATTAGCAAACTTAACATTCCTGTAAATCCAGATATCAGAGACCTCTGAGGGGCAGCCATAGAGGATATCCCAAACACACCACACTGCTAAGCCACACACCTATCCAGTCCCTCAAGTCTCCCTAGGAAGCCAGTAATATCTTTTGGGTAAATCTACCTTTAACATAGGGGTTGCCAGTCTGGTCTTCACAGAGCCGCAGCGTCTGCCTCTTGCGGCTCTGGCCGGATAAGGCTGGTTCTAACAAGTCATAGATTAATTCATTGTAAATCTCAAAGAAGGAGACCCAGATGGAGAACTGCACATCTCCTGTGTTGGTGAGTGAAATGCGGTCCAAGTCAGCCCAGCGAGAGCCCAGTTCTAGAGGAAAAAAAAAGAAAAAGGAGGAAAAAAAAAAATCACGACTGCAGCTTTTCACAAGTCCAACCTGAATGGTTTAGCCATAGAGAGATGCCTTTCTTTGGCAGGAACACTACCAGCAACCCAAATTATTCTGTATACCTTCTCCCATTTGGACCTACTCTAATGCCTGTTCCTAGCATGATGGCCTAAAGCTTGCTTTAAGTGCATTCTTCTTTCTGTGTAAGGACTTTTTATGTCCATATTCTTGGCTCCAGCAATATAGGATATTTCAAACACGAATTCTTCCCAGTATAAGTGAAGTTCTAATCCTCGGTATCTCAGTCACTCCATGCTGCCAATACCTTCTGGATCAGCTGGTCGTTCCTAGGTTTCAAAGTCTGGGCACAAGTGCTCAGTGCAACATGTCACTTCAGCACCTTGCTTTCCAGCTGTCCCCATCTCGTGGTATTCAGCTGCTCAATAACCACACCTCTTGAATGAAGTGGGTGTCAAGTAAATCTCCATTTCACAAGGGCTGGTTATTATGGAGCAGTGAATTCTTTGTAAGTATGTCTTGCCAGCGTATGAAGTTCTTCAGCCCTAACATCCTTATCTTTCAAAGGGAAAATTGGCAAGACAACAGCACCTTTGCTCCCTTATCCACAACACAGCATCCAAATAGCCATCGCTCTTTCTTCCCCCACCCTCCAACAATAAGCAGCCGGTACTACACAGCAGACTTACATACATACCTTCTATCTGGCTGACATCTGAATGGTTGGTGAGCTGGCTAGATGAAGAGAGGCCAGCCACTCCACTGTCAAAGCTGCCACTGGCAGTGGCCTGGAGCTGAGATTCAGCACTATGACTCCTCTTCATTGGTGTTAACAGCTCCTCCTGGAAGGAAATGAAGAACATGAGCATGTATGCTGTATGATGCCATCCTTCCCCTAGTATTATTAAACCTAGAAGCCATGTGCTTACCTCCCACAGGCCTCCCCGCAGCATGATCTGTTTCTTGGTCTCTTCCTGTCGCACCTGCTTGCTGTCCAGCCAGATCACCTCGTTGGAGAGGAAGGGCTTCAGATCCATGGCTTTGTACAGCCGGTCCCCCACACTGTTGAAGATGACCGCTAAGGAGCGAGGCAGAATCCCCCCATCTTTGTTGCTTCCTGAAGCAAGAACAGCAGCAAGCTGAGGATTCACATGTAGAAGCAGACAACTCCTTCAACAGACTACTAACACCTAGTGCTTTCCTTACCCTGAATAGTATGAGTCTTCCCTGAATTGGTGATGCCATAGGTGTAAACCAGCCAGTTCTGCCCATTCAGTACATCCTTTACCACCTGCTTCATTGTCTCATCAAAGAACAATTTCTGCCCAACATCTGGTCCAAAGATCTGCAAACAAGGCACATGAAAAATGGCTTCATGTAGATCTTTCCTATCTTTTGACTGCTGGTAGTTGTTCAAGTAATATTATGTAGTCTCTTGTTCCTTCCACTAGCCCCACATCATGAGAAATCGACCCACCAGTAATTCCACTCCAGACCCCTAAAACAAGCTGTTCACTTGCTTAATGCAGTAACATCTGATACCACTAGAGCCTCTAGTGTGTTTAGAGCCTCAGGAACAAAACAAGAACTTAGTATTTGCTGCCAAAAGAGTTGTCAGGATCATCTTAAAATGAAAAAAACTAAGAAAACAGTGACAGAAACAAACTTGAGAGGACTGTACAAGACTACATAGTTAATGCAGTGCATTGGAATCACTGCATGTTAGTGAGCCAGCTTTTCAAGCTGTAAGGATGGTTTAAGCTCTGAAGACTTCCAGATGGATTGTTTATCCCAGTTACGTACCTGGGTGAAAGAGAACCTGTGTGCTGCTTGTCCCACTCCACGTTCTGTGCTCCGCATGGTGAAGGAGTCCTTAGGGGCTTTTAGAAGAAGGGTCTCTGAATTCTCAATGCAGACACAACCCTAAAGAACACATAAAACCCATCATCACATTAGCTTACAAGAGGCCATAGCATAGACAGCAAAGGATAGTAGCACCACCCAGCAAGCACACAGGCAACCAGCTCAGAGACTGCTTCATTCAGTGTCTTACCTGGTCTTCCCCTTTTTCCAGTTCTGTAGATTTCAGAGGACGAACTCTCAGATAGACTTTTAATTTACCATTATTGTCTTCAGCTGCAGGCTGCAAAAATCAGCACAGGTTAAACATGGTAGCCAGAGATGTAGTACACAGCCTCCACCAAAACACTACAGGAACCACAGCATGAAACACACACAGCTACCCCAACTAGTGCTCAGTAACTAATGGACACTCCTCTGTCTCAAAATCCCCAGCAATACCAGAAGCTTTCTTAGGCATTTCCATGCACACTAGTGTTTCTTTTATCTAGTGAATTAAACCAAGAACTTGAAGACCTGACACCAAAACCAATACCCAGACCAAGCACCACACTAAGAGGAAGCATGTGAAGACGCACTTCATAGTGCACTGCTCATAACAGGAACTACTCCCCCCAATGCAACATTTCATTCTAGCCTCTTCTGAAGAGTCCCTATTGGCCCTGCACCACAACACTACTGTACAGAGACACAGCAGCCGCAAGTGAAAACACTGCCCTGTTTGTAACATTAAATCTCTAACCTCACCTGCTCGGAGCCCTCCGGATTTGGAGAGATAGCAGAGAACTCCGACAGCAGGTCCTTGCGCACATCAGCCCCAAACCCTGTCGTTGTGGATTCAAGAACAGGGGAGGCTGCAGCATCATCGTCAGAGAACAGCCCTGGGGAGGCAAGTGCTTGTGCCATGGTGTCTCAACACAGCTCCTAGAGATAAAGCGGCACAGTGAGGATAGGGTGATGTTATAGCAGGAGTCCAAACTTTGCTGCCCACACATACACCCCACTACACAGTCTGCCACCGCTTACCACATCATTTTCGGGGCCTGCCACAAGGAACTATCCTTGTACACACACCAACACACAGGATGCCGCTGCAAATGCACACACGTAACGGATCCCTCCATCCACACAGACCACCGCAGGCGCCCTATAGACATAACACCCGCACAGACCACCACACACAGACCACACACAGCTTCACGCAAGCACGCCCCCACAGAAGCACAGCTTCTCCGCTTCCCCCGAGTTACACTCCAGACCCAGACCCCAG